CTATCAAGCGGCTCCGGTGCAGCGTCAGACTTGACTACTGCACAATGGAGGCGCACAGCCGGGCACGCAGGGGCACCAGTGCGTCCGCCGCGGCTATGACGTCACTCCTCTGGAATGCGCAGACCGGCAAGGCGCGCGCGGCAACGGCGGCGGCTTCACGTGGCTCTCATAATGAGCCATGCTTATTATGCGAGTCGTGCTCATTATGCATGCTCATTATGCGGAGCGCGCTGTGCTCGTTATGCGGAGCTCCGCCATTGCCGCCGCGCGTTCCGCATAATGAGCACGGCTCGCATAATGGGCACGACTCATTATGAGGGCCACGCGAAACTGCTCAACATTGGCCAAAAGTCAAATTGGGGGGTTTTACGTGCCAAACCTACGACGGGCATCTGGCATGCCCCAGCGGAGGACTGAGGATTAATTTGGACCACCTGGGGATCTTTTGACGTGCAACCGAAAGTTCGGTTACACGGCGCCTTCTCCACAATAAGCCTCCGTCATATTGCGGGCACCTCTGTCGGGATTCGAACCCGCCACCTGGGGATCCGTAGGCCGGCGCTCTCGCCTCGGAGCCACCGCGGCGGCTTTCAACATCGGCCAGTGTAGCTAGAAAAAGTCAAAATATTGATGCCGGGGGGGGGTGCATTTATTATGCAAGTGCGTTTATTAAGCGAGTAAATACGGTAGACTCTCGGTCATTCGTTTAATAATTTTTTTAGTTTGTACGAAGCTTGGTTGCAGTCCAGGCTGCATGTATGAATATGAGTGTATATGGCTGCGAGTGAATATGAGTGACTATGAGTGTGTGAAAAAAATACAGTCGAGCCCGGTTATTTCACACCTGGGCATTTCAAATTATTGCTTATATCGAACAGTCCGAACATCCCCTTGAAAATCGCATTTAATTGTATAGGAGCGTTGTCTTTTTGTATCGAACTTCCATGGACTCCCATGGCGGGGACACTTGATATAGCGAGTGAAGTACGGCGGCCCTTCGCTTCTCCCACGGATTGCGCCCACGGAGCACAAAGCTCGCGTTGCCGGGCTGGCAGACCGCCAAGCCAGCGTATGCCCACGGAAATACTCGACAAAAAGCAATTGCAAAAAAAAAACAATTGTAAAAAAAAGAAAAAAAAAGTGGAGGATGGCAAAGGGAAAGGCAGGGAGTGCTCCTTAACCCCAAAATAAAAGCAAAAAAAAAAATTCTTTGTCAAGTTGAGTGGGTCGACAAAAACGGTTGAGCAATCGCACTTTGAACGCCTTATCTTTTTTTTTTTTCCCCTTTTTCTTTCGCCGTTTTTGCTATGTGCCATAGCCTCCTTATGTATGTGCATTTTCTTTTTGCTGTTTGAATTTAATGAGGTTTTTTTTTTGTTGCTTGCTTAGCTTTATTTTATGGATAGAGTTTTTTGTTTGTTTTTATGTAGCTCGCTTTTTCAGTCCTTTCATCTTTTTTTTAATTTGTGTTTTGTCATTGGCGCTGTACGAAGGTCGCGCATCGCGCGCGCATAAATGATTGCAAACACTGATCTTCCCCAACTAACCTCTACTGTATTTAGCGGCTCTTAGTGGCTCTATTAGGTAAGATCCCGTTTGTCGCGGCTTTCGGTATTAGCAGAGACGCGCGGAAATTTTAACTGGAGCTTAATTTAACATATTTTTGTATATCAAATTATAGATATATCAAACTATTTTACAATCCCCTTTGAATTCAATATATCCGGGTTCGACTGTATTCCTAATTCAAAGTGTAAACTCCAGGTATGGTTAACTAGGAGGACTTTTTTTACGGGAGCATGAAAAAGGTAAAATGGTAGGTTTTATCGCTTTTATCTGAGTTTGGACAGTCGGGACAAGAGTGAACAAATTCCACAGAGGCTGGGAGCTCTGCGCAGCAGTGATCCGGGAGATCACGGGAGCGCCAGGGTGGACCTCACCTCTTGACTTTTGGCTATCTCCTCTGCCAGCTGCATATTCTTGGCCATCAGCCGCCAAATCAATTGGTCCAAGTTGGCCTGATCAAATTGCAAAAACAAAGTGCCCCCGGCTACATGACACTCAAAAATGACTCTGACCATGATGAATCACGGCAAAGAAGGGCGGCCACAGTCTCAAATTAGACGCCTATTTCGTCATTACGTCGCACCAAGTAACGTCATGTTCGATCCAGGCACAGGTTCCACAGAAATGCTTACAAACACTTAACCAAGAAAAAATGATGCCGAAGTCGCCAACGTCGCTAGGCCGACTCTCGACAAAATGTGTTGGCATTTAGCGGGGGGTTCCGACTGAGCAAAGTCGTAACGGCCTGCATACTGTTGTCTCCGAAGAGCCACTCTGTTCTCCCGGGTGACTGAGGTGTTGGATGCAGCCGCCTTAGCTTCCGTCCTGACGCAGTGCATCGCTGGAAGCGTGCCAGAAGACTCTTTCCCTCTCGTAAGAGGGAAGGCAGGCGTAACGAGCGAACGGAGCAGAAGAGCCCGGCAGAAACCCTGCTGCGGCCTCCCAAACCAGTCCACTGCCGTCCAGTCCAAACCAAAGACTGTTGCACAGGGTTATAAATGCCGTTTAAAAAAAAACGAGTACCGCACCCATCGTACCGCTTATCCAGTCCCGACAAAAATGACCCCTTCAACGAAGCAACTGCCGTCACTTGACACTGCTCGTCCACTTATTGTAGGATTATCAAAATTTAACCATACTGCACAATGTGCCTGCAAATGGATTCGTTCTACGTTGAAACTCGTGTCTCCTGCCTAAAATTCTGTGCAGGAAACTGAGTGACAATGCTGAAGGCAGAATTGTCAATATTTAAACCTTCCACCCGCCCTCACTGCCACCTTGGAAGCAAAGCCCTTGCACGCGGGCACCGTTAGATAGCTCGAATTATTTACACATTGTATTCCCGTCTTTCATTGTTCCTTACTACGTTTCTAAATGGTGTTTATGCTTACCACCCGACGCATGCCATTATCGTGCAGAGCACTTTTACAGTAGCCCTTTTAACAGGCTCTTTACATTTCCAGCGTTGGTACCCAGATATGTACGACGCAAGCGGAATTCGCGACTCCAGCAAAACGGACGCCGCCAAGCGAGAAAACCGGGAACCAGTCGGTCCAGGTCGCTCCACGCCCCGCCGCGTCTCTGGTGGCTTTCGCGGACAGGTGCTGTCGGCGCGGGGGCGAGCAATGTACTTTGACGAAGGTCCGAAAATTTCTTAAGTTTGCCTGAGTGTTTATTAGTGTGGTGAAGCCTCAGTAGATTGTTTCTTTCCATCACGTGTTTGAAAGCCCGTTTACTGCACAACACACGGTCGCGTGCTTTCGATTTTTTTGATGGGGAGGAATCACGGAAAAACGTTTTGATTTCTTCTCTGTCTCTAATCACATTCAAAGTGACGACTACTTGGTAACTGATAAATGGTTTCTTTATAAGGATGTAGAACAGTGGACTGAGGTCGGCAGACGAAGTGTTTCACTGGAGGGAACACCGATGTTGCAGTCAAGTGAATGGGAAGGTTCGATAGCTGCTTTTCTTGAGTTTGGTTGTGCTCGATTAGCTTCAAGTTTGAGCCACTAACGCCGGCCGGTGCGTTGGCTATTCATCTTGGCTGCTTTTCGCCGAAAAAGACCACACTAAAGGAGTTGGGCTGATTTCGTAATTACTTGATTCAGAAAACCTGCTCGCTGCATGCGATTAATGATGATTATCTGCTTTCAAAAGGTGGGGGACGCGTCTCGCAAAGTTAGAAGCTGTCACGGCATTAGGATCTATCGCGCCTCCAATATTTATATTATAACCCCTGTCGAAGCCAGCAGCAATATACGTCTACATTGCTCAGGTTGACCGGCCACAAAAAAAAATATACTCATTTTATCCGTTCAGGATTCGAAGTCAAGTTCAATGCAGAGAGGTCTGAGTGAATCTCCGATGAAGACTCTCCTCGGTTTGTCCGCATTTGTCTCCGTTCTACCGGCTAGAACCATTTGGCTAAGTTTAAGTAGTATCTCTCTGTCTGTCAAATATACTTTTATTCAGCAGCTCACCTAATACTTAGTCAACTAAGTTCATATTTCAACCCGAAGAATATACTAATATCGCTTTGGTGGGACTTAGTACGTAATATAATACATAATCCGCATATTCGTCAAAATGACTTCTCGATTGCTACTAAAATCTATATTTAAATACGAGTATCAGCTGCTTAGTGAGGCGCCAGCAGGTTAAATGCTCCTTGGCTCAAGAAGCGCTTGCTTAATTTTCGTAATTTTCCTGCAGCCTGTGTTCTTGACCGAGCACGCGACTGGAGCTGTTTCTTGAAACGCGGACACATACAAAAGCTCAATTTCGCGGACAGATAAGTCGCATGGTCGAGGCATGCGAGTTAGCTAAAAATTACTTTCGGTGGAAAAATTTTGCAGCCATCGCCGCTTTCCTCAGATGATCAAAACTAAAAAGAGTCTATTACCGTTTCTCCGAAGCCCATAGTTTCGGTTTTGAACGAAGTCTCCGAAACGAAAGTTTGACATGAAAAGAACAAAAAACACCGGCAAAACAAAACTATGCTCGGCAAGTTTATGTGCACCGGCTACACTTAACCGTCTCAGTTCAAATACCCATAAAATTGGGCATTAAACAAAAGAAAATCTGTTAAATTGAATGCGCCACCCATTCAGACGGCCCGGCCGAGCCGACGCGACCTGGACCCAGCCGCCATGTTTGCTTGGTGGTGGCGCCCCCTATAGGTCACTGGCAGGGTTGTAAAAGTTACTTAAAAAATGTACCTAAGATACAGTTACAGTTACTCATACGAAATTGTACCTAGGTGCGTATCTAGCTACTCGCTTGAACATGTACCTATGTACAGGTACAGTTACTTCAAAGTTACTTTTTATTTTCACGTCAAGTATTTTTCTCAAATTTGTCACATTATTCATGGAAGTAAATCCTTTGCATACTGGGATGTACACAAAAGCAAGTTTGATAAACGTGCTCTATTGGTGTCAATGGGAGAAACAAGGCAAAACGCTCTCACCAGAGCATTCGAAGACTTTGTCTTTTTCACTTGAGTGCTCGATTTGACCTTAGAATCAGGACTTCTCCGAAATGTTCATCCGACATTTTCGATCGCAGTTTGATAGCAATTGTTCCTCTTATGCTATAAACGCGCTCCGCTGCCGCACTGCTTGGAAGCCCTGTGTTGAATTTTAAGAACACGCTTTTCAGCAGCGGCAAGTGCTTGAGACAGTCCAGACTTCTTGTCGCAGCAAGTTCGGTGTACTGTACAAACTCCTGCTCCCATGAAGCAGATGAGGACGATGTTTCGAAGGTAAAGAAGTGCTCACAGTCTTCTTCATCCTCATCAGTTTGTTCGCCTGACGACACTTTTTCTATAGTTGATGTTCGCATAAGTTTGTTCTTTAGATAATCCCAGGCCCGCTTCCGTTCCACTTCGTTGTCTATCCATGCAGCCTTAAATTTTGGATGGCATATGGCAGATATTATCAAATGTTTTTCTTCCTCCATACCTGCAAACCTCTTATTGATCGCCACGATTAAGCTCTCGACCACCGGGCTGCAGTACCTCAAGTTCTCCGTCAGCAACGCGGACATTGTTTTGCGAAGTGAAGCCACTGTAGGCCGGAGATATGCCATGAACATGCTGTTTTCGCGCTGGAGAAGAGTTATAGCTTGTGCGAGAGGTGTAAGCACCTGAACATGCTCCTCAATAAAGTGAATGTCTGACTTCGTGAATCGCGGAATTTTGAAATTCTCACAAACTTCCTTGAACTTTTCCTCAATGTGAACAAGCATTCCGTGAAGCGATTTGAGGCAATCGCATGTAGAGTTCCACCGCGTGAGGACAGGCGTGGGCAAATATCCTTCACAGCTTGAAGAGATGGCGTCAGGAACCACAGTAGACCTCGCTTGCTTCTTCCATAATGCCGAACACTTGCTAAAAGTCTGCCTTATTTGCTTCTTCAGCTTCGGCGACGATTCTTCAGCGTTCTCCACGTCCTGCAGAATTGGAAGCAACATCAACCGATAGACGCTGTAATAGTTTGCCTATTTACCTTCGTTGCGATCAGATTCGGCATATGGCACACACAGCGCTGGTGGTGAGGAAGTGAGTAGACCCCATCAGATTGGTCACGAGCTTCGAGGACGTAATAGATTGGAACAGCTGTACAGATGTCGTCCTCTATCTCACTCGCCGATGATGTGTCTGTGTAGTCTTCATACTGCCGCCCAAAATGGCTGTATAAAATAAAAAATAAACATCTATTCTAACGAAATTCTTCGACTTTTCTAGTAAAAAATATCAAAGATTTCATTTTCACCTGAAAGCTTTTATGAAATTAGAGCCGCTGTCCGTTGTGGTAAAGGTTGGTTTGTCGAGGATATCGTACTCTGTGCATACGCCTTCTAACCTAGATGCAAGAACATCGAATGTGTGCCTTCCTCGAATGCGACGACAGCCCAGCACAAAAGAACACCCTTCCAGCGTGTCTGGGTCGATCTCACGTGCTGTCACCCATAGGTAACTCCTTGAGACACCAAAATAAATTATGCCACTGAGAATGCCGCATAATGAAGAGAAACCCCGGCAGTTACCTCTTATGAAGTGACCAACAGTCCGCAGTAGAAGAAACATACTGAAGATCGCCAAGCTTTTTTCTTATCACTTCCATCGTCTCAGCCGCATCCTTACTGATTTCGCTCATCAACTTGGGTCGACACATCACGTGACGGGAAGGGAAGCCGCACTGCATCAGATGCCTGAAACTCCTCTGTTTCACGAGGGAGAACGGCAGGTTGGCATTTACAACCAGTTCCTGAACCATTTTGTCTAATGCATCTGAAAACCAAATACAAGTTCATTCAATAAATGCAGGGCTGCTTTTCGGTAGCAGTACGAATGCATCTTAGAACGTATTGTAGACAACTTTCCGTCTGTCAACACTCAATTATGTTAAAGAAGTCCGGCACGTAGCCAGGATCTTGTTGCGGGCAGGAGGGCGGGCGGGGTAGGGGGGCGACTATGACAAGATGCTATAGGTGGGGAAAAAAGAAGGAAGGTCCCAGCAAAAAAAAAATTTGAGGGGGGGGGGGCAACCCCCTGGCTACGCCTGAAGAAACTCCCTACTGGTTTCTAAAACACCCCCTACAACTGATACTTCCAGACTCACAGTTATAATTACGTGCGGAAAATAGTATTGGGAGACCTTAGATATGTAAATGTCCATTTCACATAATTAAGCACAACAAAACTGGCAGGCATGGTTGTCAAAACTTAATGCAGCAGTAGAAGGATACGAACATCAAGGGCAGATAATCTAAATACTCGTTCTCTGGCCGAACGGGGACTTCGAGCTCCTGATGTAGTCTGCCACTGATGGCTGGACTGCTGCTATTCTATGGTGTGAAGGCCCTGTGCTACATTTGGGTCTTTCCTTGCCTCTTTCCTTGCTTCCGTTTTACCCCGGCGACATTCATCTTGCTCTTGTCGACACTCTTTAGTGCTTCCTTGTGATACCTCTGGAATAAGCAAAGCATGACTAGTTAATACTTATTGCACCGTATCAAAACAGCTCAGCGGCGCAGGACACTAGTCCAACTAGGTTTCAGCATTAGCACTTGAGACGAAAATGATATTTCTGCCAGACGCCAAAGATGGTCAACAGCGGCGGAAAATTCCGGACGTGCGGGCATTAAAAAGAGAAGAAGTAATTGCTTTCAGTAAAACTAAAATGAAGACGATATCTAATTGACCAATGACAAGGCAGCTTACGAATAGTTGTTGTGGGTCGGTTCATTTTCCCGAAAGCCCAGTTTACCTAGCGCACTCGGACGTCTTTGTAACGACTTCTTACCGTCGCTCCATACGCCCTGAAAAGTGGACATGCACCGTAATTTTGTATAAGTATGACCAAATCTTTTTTCGTTACCCATTCCTGACGAAGACCGGACTCCGATTGAAACGTCGAAAATGAAGCTTCCGTTGTTCTACCGAAGGACCTCTATTTCGTCATATATAATATATAGGTGAAGTCAGAGTGGTGAATGGGTCGAAACACGTCGAAAACGAAGAGTGAGTTGACGCAGGGAAAGGATTTAAACAACGGTTTCGAGGCGGTCCTGCCAAGTTCTAAGTCCCAGTTACCGAACATCCGCAGTTGAGAACGACGAGAAATCAGTAGCAGGCGTTTTGTACGCACGAAAAGTTGCTACCCTGACGTGCGACGCAACGTCAATCTCTTGGACGACTGACGGACGTAAACGCACATAGTATGGAGCATAACAAACCTTACCCAGCGATGGAAGTGCCATTTGACCTTTTGGAGCAGGCCTTGTAGCAGGCAAAATGTTGTTTTGGAGCAGGTAGTGGCCCTTTTTGGAGCAGGGTCCGGCATATGTTGGCATATTGCTTGAAAATGAAGTAATGCTGCATTGCTATATAAAGCCCATCCCTATTATTGGAACACAGCGCCTGTCGCCTTTTTAAGACAGGATATATAAAATTCATAGGGTCGTGACGTCACAGCCACATGACTTCGCGCGAGAATTTCAAACAACCCACAACGCTCATGTGAAACGTGAAGTCACGCGTTAAATGAAGGTGGTTAAAGACATACGAATTAATCGTCGCCGCATGTTTCAAATGATCCCACTTGATAAGCTAATTCATTTGCCTTAAAGAAGAATTTGAAGAATTTACGCAGGATCGCACCCACGACCCTTCGGTTGCGAGACAGACAAGCTACCGACTAGGCAACGGAGGGCTTGGGAATGGCACTGCGATCCTGTCGTCATTAGAGTGCTTCGATGTCTGTCTGTGTCAGGGTAAAGGCATTATCGCATCGAGTGTTGTTAGCGCGTGCCAAGCAAACACATAAACAAACCTTGCGGGGTAAAATGGCATCAAAGCACTGGCAAAAGCTCCTCGATCGCGCCGGGAATGTTCTATCATAAGAACTAGGTGGTTGTGTGACTCAAGAGCAAGAGAAGAGATTGAGAAGGCCATGCGGACGGGGCCCGATAACCCTATCGCGCTCGACTCTTAAAGGTGAAGGTTAATCGTCCTCCCAGTTTTTTTTTTTTTTTTTTTCTTAACAAAGATTTAAGTTTTGTAAAGAGCAAAATTTGAGTTCGATTTATTGCGTGAAAACACTACGTGATGTTAAATCGCTTTACGACAGTAATTATAATTTAGTTTCAGTTATACTATATATTGTATTTTCTACGATTTGGACGAAGTGGATAGAAAAGTACCTGTAAAAAGTAACTTCACTTAGTTACAACTTACAAGTTACTGGAAAATGTACCTAAGATACAGATACAGATAGTGAGAAATGAAAGTACCTAGGTTTGTACCTCGGGTACAACAAAAGTACCTAGATACCGATTTACAGTTACTTGTACCTAGGTACTTTACAACCCTGGTCACTGGAGTCGCGAATAAGCAATGGCACTGGTGCACATTGAGTGGGTGGGCAGCCATAAGACAGCACGACGGTTTAAAGGTTGGCTAGTTCGACGGCGCAGGTCTCCAAACAAAAGTTGCGGAGCATTTGCAATAAGGAGTGCACGGTGCATTTACCATCGCACATTGGGGATCTTATACGTACTCCATATACAAATTAAAGGTGACAAAAATAATCAGCATGAGGAACCACCTTGTAGATTCTCGGAAAACACAGCACATTGCCTTTCGCATATATTGAAACAAACACGTGGAAAAAGAAGGCATTAGGTAGCGAACATGCACTATCGGAACAGATTAAAACACAAACGCCGGAACACGTGATCTCCGGTACGCACTGAGCGACCTAGCAGCCGATAAAAATGCAGAGTGCTGCGAGAGCACATTTGGTGCGCACAACCTTACGAAACCCTTACTGCACTCCAAAGTTTTATCAACTCCAGATGGCGCGACATGTATCCAAGGCTACATGTTCCGGCGTCTGCCTTCCGTTCCCTTCCAGTAGTACCTCACCATTGATTCGACATATTACAACATTCCTAACATTGACACGAAGCAATTCTTTTTAAGATGTTATAGCTAAATGCGTTAGATCTCGGAAAATTACTTTTCGCGATATAAATGCTGGCTTAATCTGTTCATTGGGCTGTTCTCAACTGTTCTCTTATTGTGAGAGGCAATCAGCAGTTGCAATGCAGTGCACCAGCCCAATGCAAATGCGCAAACGAGCCTCGCCCGGGTGCAGCCATGTCCAGATCGAAATGTCCTAGTGGCACGTGGAGCATGCACGTGCAAACAGAGCTAGTCGCCGACAGGGCAAGAATGACAGGGCTTGGGATGCACGCCCTCCGCCGCGCTCTGCCCGAGGAGCACAGGACGGCCAAGCGTCGTCGAGGGCGGGAAGATCGCGCTGGAGGTGGGACGAGGGAAACTCCTCCCTGCCAGTCTCCCCTCGATGGCAACTACCGTATTTATTCCAATATAGGTCTACCTTTTTTTTTCGGAAATGTTGTCAAAAATTACGGGTCGACCTATAGTCGTGACCAAAGAATTTCGACCTAATTCGCGACCAAAATTTGAAACCCTACCGAGGGTATGGAGCTATCAATCACCTAGCCGGCGTCGCGGTAGAGCCGCGCGGCTTCTTGTTTCAAAAAGCTTTTGATGCACAAAAACAACCGAACAGCAGCAGCCGACAGCCCGTGGCCGCCGGCTACGGCTCTTTCGTAGACCGCGTTGCCCCCTCCGCTAAGCGTTCCGCAACGAAGAAGTTGCTACTGCGCCTGCGCGCCGATAGCCTTGACTGTGGAGTTCCCGCTATCGTAGCGGGTTGCGGAGGGCCTTGCGGGACGGCGAAAACGATCTACGAAAACTCCCTATTCCTCGGGCGTCGGGTTGCGCCATCACGCCTGTAGCGTTCCCCCCGCTGGGGAGGGACAGGAACGCGATGCGCCATGCACTTTGAACTCCTATGCGCTCCATTCCTCTCTCCCTCGCAAACGCGCAAAAAAAAAAAAATACCGGAGGTACTTGAGTTTTTTTGTTTTTTTTTCGGCGGGTCACGTGTTGCTCACAGGGCTCGCAGCGTTGCTCGTTTCTTTGTATTTGGTCCTTCGTCGCTCGCCCGTCTCCACCTTCTTTCGTTTCTTCTTGTCGTCATTTTACATCGGTGTCAGTGAGGTATTGCTGCCAATTTGCGAGGATGTCTACCAAGCTGACGAAGCTTCGGACGACGATATGTCCGGAAGTTCTGAATAAGTTTTTGACATCGCCCTGTGATTTAGCTGAGAGTGCTGTAAATAAAGGTTTGTTTCTTTTGCCCTACCTTTCCCCCGTTCCTTAAAAAAAAAAAAAAAAAAAAAAAAGAAAGGTCGACCTATATTTGAATTATTTTTTTTTTTTTTTATTCTCGGTGGGTTCAATAAATAGGGGTCGACCTATTTTGGTGGTCGACCTATTTTCGGGTAAATACGATAGAAGCGTGGCGGATATCGGAAAAAGGGACGACTCACGATGTTCCGCGTGTGCGGGGAAAGCTGGCCAGCGAGGGACTGCAAGGAGCTGCCCTGCTCCCGGATCTGGGCATCCAGCTCGGTCGAATGACTCGACAGTTGCGTCCGGAAGTCCGCCGGGCCGAGCGGTTCGGCCGAGCCTGGCTGCCCCGACTTGCGCCCGGGAAGAAGGCCGTCGTACATCGAGACGCGAGGCCCGAGCGGAGACAAGAAAACGGGAGCAGACGTCGCTTC